CTTGCTGCCTTCCAGCCGAGCTGGTGCCTGGGCAGGGAGCAGCGCTGATCTGTGAGCCTTCCTCATCACACCTGTGGCCTGCCCTCTCCTTCAGCTGCAGGGTGACCTCGCACTGGCTGCTGAAGCACCCCTAAGAGACGTCCTGAGAACAGACTCGCCCAAATTATGGCTGTACAACAGGTTGAGCTTCCTGCTCTCGGTTCATCTGATCCTACGCTTCTTCCCACTCAATGAAGGACAGAAAAAAATTTGTTTCTCTGCCTTTTGTGAGCCTCAATATCTTTCCACTTGTCTTCAGGAGCATGGTGGATTTAAAAGGGGTCTATACCTGGAATATGCTAACAAACAATCAGTCGTACAAATGTTGATAGTCAAAGGGCTATTAATTTCTTTGTAAAATCATAGAGGAACTGACTGAAATGTGAAAACTGTCAGATGAGTGCAGCAGGCATGCAGCAGTGCCGCGCTAGCCAGCTCCTTCTGGCTCCCAAGGAAATGTGGAGCCCTCTGAGTGTTTTAGGAGAAACGGCAGAAGCCCAGGAAGACATTTGTGGCTTTAATGCTTCAGTGGGGGAAACCTTTTTCAATATTTGTGACGGTGAAAGTTTAAGTTTCAGTGCTGAGCTGAGTGTTCATTTGAGTAGAAGGTGGCCCAAAGCTAGAAGATGTAAAAGTTAAGTTGCACCTTTGCTCCTGTGTTGTAATATAAAGAACAAAAAGACGAGCTGAGTATTTTGGACGTGAGTTTAGGGTCTAGCCTTTTCAGGATCTGTCTTGATGTGCTGGTAGCTTGACTAACACTGAATACTCTCGATTTTCTTACAAACTACAACTGCAGGAGCAGGAAGCGATTCCTTCCTCCTCCTCCTGCTGATCACAGCCACATGTTCATCCTGGCAGAGCCATGCCTCGAGCTGGCTGTGCTCACTTGTTTACCTTGTCCTGCTGGTGCAGTCGCAGAGCCTCGCAGAATGCCAGATAACACTCACTGATAGCTTCCCCCTGTCTCCATCAGTTCATCTGCTGGGAACAGGAGTGAAATATGCACAGGTTTCGCCCTTGATGAACTTTGCAGTTGAGGCTGCTTCCATCAGGCCTGCCCAAGCTTTGGCAGTCAGTGCCAGCCCACTTTGAAAGCACTGTAGATAATTTCCTAAGCAAAACCAAATGCTCTTGGTGTCAGTATTTGCTTTCTTCCTTTCTTTTTTAACAGCTGTATTAAAATGAACTGCTTCTTAAAGAAGGTAAACCAAAACACACAGGCTGTCCCTGCGACTTCAGTGACTTTCCTCGTCCTTCCCTGCAGAGCAGAGAGGCTGAGCTCCTCTCGCCAGTTCAGCACTCGGAGGGTGGCTCAGGAGGAGACCTGAGGAGTGGGTAATGTCTTGCTGCTGCTTTGGGCAGCTGGGCAGCTGGTGCCCTCACTGAATACAAGTGAGAAAACTTTCCAGAGAGCGCTTGGAGTTGTCACAGCCTTGTCTGGAACCAGTTAGGAAAATGACAACGTCTTGGGTTGGAGGCTCCTAGCATTGCCAACTTTAGCCTGTTGGAAGAATCCCAGCTCATGCTCAGAGATAATTCTGTCCCCAGAAAACTCTTTGTTATGATGTTACGATTGGCTTTCATCTAGAAATTGCTGTGCAACTTGCATTTAAGTATTCAAAACTTGAAGTGCATAGGGTTGTTCAGCCAGAATTACAAATGAAGTTTTCAGCTCAGGCTCTTGGCAAGGCTTTCTTTCACGTTTGTCAAACTGACGTTCAAACCAAAGGAGCAAAAATACAGCTAAAATATCAGGTGCCATTGAATTTCTGGAGAAACCATGACAGGAGTGTTTCTTTTCTTTCCCTCCTGTAATCAAATCTACACTTCTGAGCAGCCATCTGCATGGAGCAGTTAGTGGTTCTTTCTTTTTTTCCCTTGGATCTGGTTTTGCATCTTAAATGAAGTGATAGCTCAGCCAGCTTAGACAGAGTGTTTGTGGCTGTGTGAAAACCCTTTAATGCCCGTGCTATCCGGAATGCTCAGATGAAGGCTACAAAGCTCGGAGAGGGACCCCAGGTACGTAAGTGTGGCCAAACAGAGAAGATCACAGTTCCCAACATCTAACTGGTAACCTTGGCCAATAAAGCCTTTCTCAGCCTTGATGTTTCTTGATTTCTGATGTGGGGCAGTGACTCATTTCCTACAAAAACTAGAAATTTCTTACGGCAGATATGCCAACGTGCTTTTTCTTTCCAAAATTCTCATCTTCTGGACCAAAATAATGAAAAAAACAACACAAAACTTCCTTGCTTTGACCTTCTGTCATAGGAAAACATTTTGGTAAGCAGCATTTTCAGTAAAGATATCAATAGTTATCTTCAGAAGCTTTTTCCCCTCTTAAGGGGGGGGTTCTTTCCTTTTCATTGTTCCTATCCTCTTCTGCATCCTTTTAAACACCCAGCATTGACTTCATCTTCAGCCTCATGTTGTTGGGAAACAACAACAGCGAAGTGGGAGCTGGGCTGTATTTCAAGTTGCAGTGGGAGTTTTATATCTTAAAGACATGAAAATTCTTTTGTTATTGCATCATTACCACAAACCAAAGGAGCAAGGAAGGTCGATTACATTTTTTTTAGCCATATTTGAGATCTTGGGAAAGGTACTTTTGGTCATCATCCTACAAAAATGAATTGCAATAGGGGAAGTAAGTGTAGTCCATGTAGCATAAAGCAGAAATTCCTGCTGGTTCTGCTTCAAAAGAGTCCTTTTAGGGGGAGAAATAACAATCCTGGTAAAGAAAGGGCACTGCAGTAAGTACTATAAATAATACCATATTTTGCCCTCAGGATTTTCTGTGTATGTTCTCAGAACTGGGAGCCATGGTTCATGCCTGTAGGGACTGCAAAAGATACTCTGTTCATCTGCTTCTTTATCTCTTGCTGCTGAAGAAATCGTCTTTCGGGCCAAAACATCCCATATTTAGCTGATGCCAAAAATGAAAATTTAATTTTGAGGAAAAGTTTAGTGTGTTTCAAGTATGAGAGCAGTAAAAATAGACATCTTCTCTGTACTAAAGCTGATATAATGAAATGAGGTAGGTGCCGTTTTGAGTGGCTGTGCAGTTAAAACAACGACATTACAGAAACTGAAGATTAGCTGTGATTGCACAGCGGGGCATATCTTTTTTTCTGGATGGACTTGGTTTTGATTTCTCTACTTCTGTGCAGAGTTTGGGCTGAGCACGTTACGCGTGGTGCCTCGCTTCAGGCTTGTCACCTCCCCAAGCTCGGACCTGAACTGATAAGAGTTGCCTTTGCACACCTGTCCTGCAAGAGAAGAAGAAAAAAACATCACAGAAAAATGCAGATTTGCTACGAGACTTCTGGTTAGGTTTTTAACGAGCTCAAACTAAAGAATTACACGGCAAGTTTCTCTAGTTCAAAGTGTCAGTTTGAACAGGGAAGAAGAGGAGGACAGGACAAAGTGCCAGACCTATAAGGCTGTCAATAAGCCAGCCAGCTTTCCATTCTCCACAGCAGAAGCAATGGATGCCAGCGTGCATCTACAGTAAGAAACTCTCTGGAAGTATTTTTCTGCCCACTGTTGCTTTAGGGAAAACACCTTGTGGGCTTCTGCTGCCCAGGTTGTGTGCTGCTGCCTGGGGACCTGAAGGACACGGGGCAGTGTGAGCGATGTCAGCCTCTCTCTGAATTGCCCCAGCCTCCAGGAGGTGACAAAATTACTTATGGAGAGAGCTGAGCTGCTGTTAACAGGAACACAAATACATTGGCAAAAGAGAAGGGATTGCTAGGCAACTACATCTGCATGCCTTAGTTGTGGAATGTTTAACCTCTCGTCCTTGCTAGTTCTTGTCTTCCTCTGCTATTACCATTTGCATTCATCGCCTGCTGCAACACGATGCCATGTAACAAATAGGAGAATGAGGTCTTCCCTTACAGGGTTTATGCTCTGCTGCACAAGAGGGATGGGCATGAATTAAAATGTGCTCTGTGAGCAGTGACCAACACGCGTGGCAAAGATCTCAGCGTGCTGGGCTCTTGTATTTTTGCCTTTTTGCTGTGTTGCTGCTGGCGATGCTCTGCTGCTGTCAACCAGGAGCGTTAGGACTTGCCTTTTGATGTGTATTTCGGGAAGCAACCGTGTTTGCAGAAAAGCAAAGCGAGTCTCTGGGAAGGATGTGTTGAGGTGTTGCTTTCCTGCTTGCAGGACTTCTCGCTTGCAAATCGCCCTTCTGAACCAGGCGGCGGTTGATCTCATTTAGCAGTCGCCGGGTCATTTTTCCAGCTGGTGTGAAACGCTACCCTGCTTGGCCTCGGGAGCAGCACAGATGTGCTGACACTGCCTGGGTGGCTCAGCAGGCCCCGGGGGAAGATCCTCCATCCAGTGCAAGCAGAGCAGGAAGGCAGGGAAATGGGACCGTGCCCCGCTGCTGCTGTGGAGGTGGGGTTGTCAGCCCTACCAATGGCTCTAAATCCATCTAGTATTGGACATAAATAAGTTGTGTACAGTTCTGTTAAATGTCTGGCATAATACTCCAAGCCTGCAGCTGCACAGAATTAGGGAGCTGTATTTTTTTTACATATTGTATTTGTATAAACTTGTCAATTAGCTTTGAGGACAATGTAAGTGGAAGTATAGCGGTACTTGGATTTGAATATAAATTATTTTCTTATGCCTGCAGGTCTGTGTTACAGATTGATTTCAGTTTCATCAGGTGACATTTATGGGGCAACAAGAAAAACAGAGCATCAAAATCCTTCAGATGAGTAGAACTGAAGAAGAGAATTGCTTTTCTCCCTATTAGTGCTTTCAGTGACAGTAATATAGTGACAAAAGACGTCATGTTTTTACATAAGATGTGACATGAACCTAATTTATGTGACACAGCAGCAGCCAGAAACGTATCCACCTGAGTATTTACACCTTAGGGTAAAGTGTCTTGCAGACCATTTGGATGTGAGTGCTAAGTTTTGCTCTGTCTGTTGTGTTTCCAGTGTATTCGAAAAAGATCCCAGTGGAGCTGACTCTCCTGTGAGCTCCAACCACCGGACCCGAAATCTCCTGGAGTTCTCAGCTAGCCAGGAGTCCAGCACAGCACAGAAAATACCTGATGACATAATTTCCGAAAAGAGTAATAGGTAAGATGAAAACTTTTGATGTATTTTAAGTGGCAGAGGGCAATGTTGCTTTAGACCTCACTGTCCTTGCATTTGGGAACCTTTTTGTCCAGTATTATTGCAGCTCTTAAAGAGCAACTGAGCTTACAAAAACGGTGTTTTGAAAGCTGATCTCTTTTTTTAGTTTTTATTATGTAACAGTTTACCGTGCTGCTTTTTGAATTAATATGTCATTTAATCCACAAGTTTACCCAGTATGTAGAGGTGTACAGCTGGCAAGTTTTGCCTTGCTAGATGGTAATAAGGAAAGAGTGGTGGAAGAGAATATATAAGCAAGTGTGTGTCAGGGAGATTTTTGTGACCTTCAGCTCTTCATCTGTTTGATTTTTTTCCCTGATCTTTATTTTACCTAGCAGAATTGAGATATTTGTTTTATTATCTATCTGTCCTTACTTTTCAAGTTGCAATATGCATTTTCTTAGTTACTCAAGAGCAGAGAAGGGAAGCTCACAATTGTGAGCATACTCTGAACTTAAGAAGAGCTGCACTTTTTTTTTTCTTTCAGAAATTTCTGAGTCCATCCTTGTGCTTACCCATTATTGCATCATATAGTTGCTTTAAAGATTCCTCGATCTCTAGCATTCAGTGCATAAGTAATTGAACATATAATTGTCTCCAGACTGAAGTCTGGCGAATCCAGCTCATGTTTTCCCCTTACAGGATTTATCCTATCAGATTGTCCCTTTCCAGTAGAGTGTTTTGGCTGGTTGAACAAAGCCAGGCACAGACGTGCAGAAGGTCTTAATACATTTTGCCATGCAGAAGACAATAAATCACAAACACTTCAGTGCTGTAGCCATGGTGAGGGCTTTGTGTCCTATGTGGCACGTTTCAGACCGTGACTTATGTGACACTGTAGTAGAGAGGTTCTCTTAGGAGGCTGTGCTAGTGCCTGTGCTACAGTTAACCAGGAGAAAGGAATATTATTATGTGCTTTGTTGCTGAAATTGCTGTGGATTTGTGTATTGAAATGCACGCTCTTTCTTACTTTTTCTCGTAGCTGAGCTAGCTGCTGGAGACTGTTGGAGATGTTTGGGAAAGCAGTCCTTGCCACTTGGTTGCAATATGGTTTCTGGCTGCTCTGTTATTGTATAGCTCATGGTCTTTGTATCCACGTGGTTTTAGTGGCTAATAAATTTAGTATTTCTATAGCAAATCCTTCACAGCTCTGGAATGAAAGAGAAAGTTGTCTGCTGAGATCTCTCAGTTTACATCTTATGAGAAATATCCTATGGGCTGCATTTCCTTTCAATATCTGCCCTGTTTGGGAAGAAATTTAGAAACCACTAATGCTCATCTGTCTGCCCCGTGTTGAGTGCCACCAGACCCTTTGGAGGACTTGCCTAGGACCACTGATTTTTTGATAGAAATTATTCACCTGTTTTGAAGGTCTCATAGCAGCAGCTGAAACCTTTGCGGGTTTGCCACTGGTCATTCTTAATTTTCTGGGTTTGGTCAAAGGTTGGTGTCTTTTTCTCTTTTTCCCAGGTACGATCATTCAGTGTCTGACAACAAAGCACTGATGATAGTATCAGAAGAACCGCTATTATATATTTCACCACCACCACCCCCACCCCCCTGTCAGCCCCTGATCAACCGGACAGAGTCACAGAGGTGAGCAAACAATTTTTTCTGAGCATTTAAGCGTTTAGTAGGAGCAAGCTGTGTGATAGGTGAGTGGACAGATGGCTCTGGATGATGTTATATCCGCTCATAGCATTCATCCAGTCTGGGACCACTGCCTCTGTAAGTGTCTGTGCTGTCCAGCATCTACTTCCATGGAGACATGAGACTGACTTTGATCTTCGTAATCTTCTGATGTTTTTTCTAATGATTTTCACTCAGTATTCTCACTGGTCACTTAGCAATAACTGAATAACAACTTTCTGGTTGCCTGGAGGTTTTTAATGACTTAAAACAGAAATCACTTCGTAAGTGGAAATGTTTACAAAATGGAAATCAAGGGCACTTCCATCAGAAATACGCAAAAGATGATCTCCTATCCTTCAACTTCCAAGACAAGTAAACTCTACTTTGCAGATCTGCTTTATTCATTATTGGGAAAAACTTAGCTCTGTTTTTTTCCAAAGATACAAGTGTATCACCAAAATTAACTCCATTCTGCTTTGCCCATTCTTTCTGTCAAATTTATTTGCAGTATTTTAGCTTTCTTAGCCAATATTTAGTCTTGAACTGATGATCTTTTCTTTTAAATTTCAGTAGCCCTTCTAGTAATTTAAGAATTACTGTTCATTAGGCAAAAAAAAATTCTGTATCTGCTTTATGTTAAAACATCCATAATTCATATACTTTATGGATAGTTAGCCAGTTGGACTCGATGATCTTTGTGGGTTCGTTCCAACTGAACAACTCTATTCTGTTCTATTACGTATGAATTCCCTTAAAATTCAATCTTTCAATTAAATTTGCTGCTCTGGTGTTAAAAATAAGATACGGTACAGCAAAAGAATACTAAACTGCAGCGTGTTTGAAGTGTTTTCTATAACTAAAAATTTTGCCACTGTTCTTTGAAACATCTGTTCATGCTGTGTTGTGTTTGTTGTTTGTTTTTAGGCTAAATCATGAACTTCGAGGATGGGTTCATAGACATGAAGTGGAAAGAACAAGGTCTAGAAGGCTGTCAAATAGCAAACAGCAGAAGGCACGGGTTACACAGGTAGGCAGGTTTATACTGGTGAGTCAGTATCGTGACAGGATAATATAAAACATAACATAAACATAAAAATAAACATAAAAAAATAAACATACCATAAAAATATTCAGTGTTACTTGTCTATGCTTGTTATTATATACCAGAGTAGCAAGAGTGCCTGTAATTAGGGTTACCAAACACTTGCCATTTTAAATTGCTGTTTTTGGTTGATAATTATGTTTCCAGAGTTCTTGTTGGGAATACAATTTTTCATTCTTGGTCTCAAATTATTTTTTAGCAGTCCTCAAAACATATTAGTTGTTCTCTAAAATTAAACCTTTTATATGACTTCCCTGTAAGGTTGTGTAAGGTTAAACTGTTGATGGAGAAACACAACCTACTGCACATTGATCAGGCTGACTGGTAAGAGGCACAGCTGATTGTTGAAATATTTCTTGCTAAAAGGATACATTTTGGGTAAGAGTACAGAATTGTGAGATTTCTGTTCATATTTCCCCTTTTTAAAAATGCCTTTCATCTACATGGCTTATCGATAACAAGGACGTAATTAAGAGCATGAATTTTTGAAATCTTTCATTTGATTAAGAGATAGTAACAGCCTTAAAAGGAATGGAACTTCACACTGTGGGCAACACAACATGCTTCTAGAGAAAAATTGTTGAATATTAAACTTCTCACCGATGTCCAAAAGACGTCGGTGAGATGTCAAAGGTAAGGCAAGTTCGAGTGTTTCTTGTGTCTCAAACACAAGAGGTGTGCTGTGGGTAGTACATTTTGGCAGAGAGATGAAGTGAATATGACCTAAAAGAATGTATGCAACTACTGTGTATGGTACCTGCATCTCTTATTTGTGTCTGAGAGTGTGACTTTAAATTTGGCTGTATTAAAACACTTGCTTTTTTCTTTGATTCCAGCTTGATTGCTGGTCACCATTTCAGTTAGTCATTTGTCACCAGTGAAAAAATGTACATTCATTGTCCAGGGGCACTAATTAACCCCTGTACCTCCTTAAATATTTACTCTGCTACGTCTGTGCTTCATGTTTTTTGTAGTGCAAAACCAAGAGGATGTTTATTGGTTTACATTTATCTTTTTTTTTTTTTTTTTACCTCTTTTTCAGAGCTCCCTCAGTAAGAAAGTAGATTCCCAGCTAATGGCCATGCCTTATACAGACACCAGCCTCAGGTAAGGCAAAACAACTGCTTTATTTTTGCTCTTTACTTACTAATGTCGTTTCTCACCAACGGCTGGTGAAAAATGCTTATTTTCACCTTGTCAGGTTTCTTAAGTGAAGGGCTAGCTACATTTATTGGCCTAATTTCCATCCCTCAGCAATTAGCTGCTTCTAGTGTTTCAACCTACACATAGAGGAACCCTAATATCACAACTCTTTTCTGGGGTCTTCTACCAATAAGTCTGAAGAAAATCATTACTTCACTCAGCAGGGTCCCTCCCTAAACAGATTAACAGATTTGAATCTTTAAGGGGAAATAAAAGGGGGATTGTTTGGGGACTGCCCTCTACCTGCATGCCTGTCCTGTCCATCTTCCTGGAGGACAGGAAAAGCTGGAGAGAAAAGCTTAAGGAAAATACAAATTCTCTCTCCTGAACTCTCTGTGACAGTGTTTAAAAGGATCTCTGCTTCGAAGTAGCAAGGAAGGATAAGGAAAATGGAGTACAAAGTGGACTTTTTATTGAAGGAACATACCTGAAATGTTGCTATTGAAAGTAAGACAGCTGTGGACCTTCTGTTTTTATTGCAGCAGCTTTGAAAGCAGGATAGTCTGGGAGAAAATAGTGGTCTATAGGCAAGTCTTCTGGAAACAAAGCTGGCAAAAAAAAAAAAAAAAAAAAAAAAGAGCTTTCTTAAGCTTTCTTAGTTCTACAGGCAGATGCAGGATGACCGACAAGCTTATTCTCATGGCATAAGGTAGTTTATATACATGCCTGCATTACTCCTAAAAAAAAAAAAGTATTGAGATTATTAAAAACAATCTGTGACATGCAACTCTGCGTGGAATAATTTACTATGCTCAGAAAGAAGTGATTTTTTTTTTTTCTGGACAAATGATGTTTAAATGAACAGGACCAGTGAGTGAGTCATGGCAGCTGCTTGCTGTGACCGTCCTGGAACTGCTAAGAACATAGAACAGGCTTCCAGTTTCTCCCTGAGACATCAGCTATTAGATGCTCCATGAAATCACAGAATTGTAGAATAATTAAGGTTGTGAGGCATCTCTGGAGATGTCCACTCCAATCTCCTACTTGAAGAAGGTTTAATTTCAAGTGGCTCAGGGTGATGTCCAGCAGAGTTTTGAGTATCTCCTGAAGGAGAGATGCCACCAGCTCTCTCGGCACTTGTCCCAGGGCTACACCACTGCCGTTGTGAAATGTTTTCCCCTTGTAGCCAGCTGGAATTTTTCCTGTAGTAATTTGTGGCTGCTGCCTCTTACCCTTTCCCTGTGCATCTGTCAGAAGAGACTGACTGCCTCTATCTCCTTGTAAGCCCCCGGTAGGAAGCTGAGGATTGCAGTCGGAGCCCCTTCAACCTTCTCTTCTCCAGGCTGAACAAACCCTGCTCCCTCTGCCTCCTGCCTCTCCTTGCACATCCTGTGCTCCAGGTGCTGCCGGTCATGCAGTTGCTGCCCAGATGTGTTGCTGACTTGCATTTGGCTCCTCTGCCAGGACCTCAGCTCCTTCCTGCAGCCCATGTGCTTCATCACTGGGAAGACAGGAAAGATGCTGTTTATCTAATCTTGTCATTGATGCTATCCATGAGGCACTGCCTTTGGAAAACTATTAATGAGCTAGGAGTTTTTCTGCAAATGTCTAAGTCAAAAACTAAGCTACTTGTAAGCTTTCTGATACTTCATGTAAGTGCATGCAGACTGCCACAAAGGTTTTGTTAATGATGCAAGTGCCGTTATTCGGAGCATACTGTCAAGACTTCTTTTTTAAGATTGGTCTCATGCCTGAAATTTGAGTGACTGTTTCCTTCTGGAATAGCCTTATTGTTGACCTGTGGATCTTGGGTGAATCCATGAGTAAGGGGACATTAATAGGGTTTGGATTCATCTTTGTGGTGCTGATGATATCAGCAGCGATGTAAAGTGTTGCAGTGAAGTCAAGGCAGAGGAAGATCAAAATGAAGATGACTTAAAAACATTAAACATCCCCAACCCACTTCAGTCCTTTTAGCTTTCATTAGGGGTTATTTTGATGAGGCTTTCTGCAAATGTGTATTTGGGGCTCTGGATATCACGTGCTAAAGGACTCTCCAGCTTTTTTCCTATTTCTGAATTTTGCACTATTAAAATCGTGGTTCTTGGTGAATAAAGCACTGTGTCCGCAGCCTCACTCCTCGAACAACACTCTTGCACCATGCTTGTGCTTGGTGATGCACAGCAGAGTGCCCTTCTAACTCTGAAAACCATGAAGGCTCGTTTATCTCAGAATAAATGGGCAGATTCAGCACCACTTTTTGGATACATATTTAATATGATGCTTTCTTGTAATATGGTAAGGTATTGCTAAAAAAAAAATTGGAAGAAATCTTCAATTTCTTCCTTTCCTTCATGGAGCAGTCCATAGTGAGTGCTCTTAAATGCACACAGGTCAACATGGTGTAGTACTGGTAATTACAGGTGTTACTGGGAGTTTGGAGCTGGTGATGGACTTGTTCCATGGAACCAGCAGAGCTCAGGGAAGGCCCAGTGGTTTCCAAGTGCTTTGGAACAACTTTCTCCCGTGGCTGGATTTAGAGTTATAAAAGGCTGTTTTCCAGGTTGAGCTGGATCTTCTGTAGCGTGGGCGAGAAAACGGAACTGTGGGACCTATTTCAGTTCTCAGGATGTGTTTTTACAAAGCAATACGTGGGTGTGATGCCTTTTATCACAGTGCAACTTCAATGCCGAATCTCAGGGGTGTTCTAGTGGGCCTACGTGTTTTTGTGAATGAGTAATCGAGTTCAGATTAGCTTGGATCTTTGTTTCCTGTGCGTGAAGGACATGATCTGATCCCTCACTTGCATAGGGCTGCTAATGAGGATATATAGAATAGCACTGCCTACTCTTAATCCCCCAGGACTTTCACCCCCCATCTCGTTAAAGGGAAGCCTGGCTTGGCAGCTGCAGTCCTCTGATTGCAGCAAGGCAAGATTAGCAGTAGGAGAGGAGATAATGGTGGCCTGCTATTACTGCTGCTCAAGAAAATCACTTGATGATATATTTGTGCCTTGTTTTCTTTGTGTAGTTATGTATATTATAGAAACATACCAAAATAATCTAAATGAGCCACCGTATTTTAAAATCTGGGTCAGCACAAGACAGTTTGGGAGGAGCAGGCTCATCAGTGATGGTGCCACAAATACTGCAAACAGATAGCATGCTATTAACGTGGGGAAGAATTCAAATAACTGGTTGAAGATCCAACTAATGGTTTGTCTAAGTACAGCTTTCCCATTTGATTAAATATGTTATTTTTGAGTGGGAATGGGATGATAGCAATATCTGCTGGGAATTTCTCACCTTTCCAAGATAAACAGTGGATAAGTACCACAACTGCCTGACTTGCCAGTGTGTCTGCTTAGAATATTTCAGACGGTGTCTTTTCCTCATGTCTGATATCAGTAAGATGAGAATTGTGGAAAAGTATGAATTATATGAGTGTTACGAATATCTTATTTTTGCTCCACTGTCTAAATAGAAAATCAAGAGCAAATCTGTGAATTGACCAAAGGCAAAAAAAGAAGGCAGGTGAGAGAGAAGATGAAGTTGCCACTTACAAGTAAATAAATCAAAAACTGATTAAATGTTTTGAGTTTTCATTTCAGAATAACATTTTGTTTTAAAATTTGCTATGATCTGTTTTCAGAAGTCATCACAAATTTCCAGACGTTTTAGATTGATTTGAAACTTTTTATTGTTGTTGTTGAGCTAGTATGTGGCTTTTTTGCTAGCCTCCAAAGCATGATCAAAATTAAGCCTGAAACAATTTCCTGGGGCAAGACTTTTAAAGCACTTTGAACTCTCAAAAAGTACGCAGTAGTTCTCACTGTCTTCACCTATGTTTAATGTTCCTCGTGCTCCTCAGTGCATAAAGATCTGCTGTTCTTTTGAAAAGCAGGTGTTTATAGCCATTGTCTCACTGAAGTTAAGTTTCTTGTGTCTAAAATAATTACCTTCCCCCCTTCTTTATTTCAGCAGGAACTCAGGGAACGAGCTGCAAGTATATTATGCCTCTCCAAGGAGCTATCAAGACTTCCTTGAAGCTATTCGCAGAAGGGAAGACACATTCTACGTGGTGTCATTTCGCAGAGTAAGTTTATATGAATCTGTAAGACTGTTTCTAACACCGTACCTCTTTCCTTGTGATACAAAAGATGATGTCGTCAAGGTTGGAGCTAAATTCGTTTCTTCGTAAGTGATGCCTCAGCACGAACTTCACAGTAAAATGGCCAGATCATGGTCTTTTCAAAATATGCCTGTCATGGTTAGGAATGGAAAGAGAACTTTGCAGGAAATGTTGCAGTGCACGGGCAAGACAGCATGAAATTGTATGAAAAACACAGAGAAGCAGGATTGAGGGAGTATCTGGAGGTGAGAGGCAGTCTGCAAAGAAGGGGTCTTCCTCTTTGTGTAGTAAAAACTGCACAGAGAGGTAAAACACTGTAAATCAGTAAAACACTGATGCAGTTTCATCAGGTAACTGGGACTGTTTGTTAGACACTGTTGCTGAAAAGTTAATATTGACTGGTGTAGTTAAAACATTAGGTCGTCGAGTTGTTTAATCTCAGCATAGATGAGGTAGGAGCACTATGCCTTCCGACTGAATAACTTTTTTTTCTGGAAACAGTCATAAAATCCTCCAAAGCCAGCATACAATCCCTGCTACTCTGCAAGAATTGCAGAGTGGAGTTTCATTGCTCTTCCTGGGCTGCCACCCTGCTCATTTTTCCAGATGTGCGATGTTTCTGGTGCAGATTGTGCAGGCAAGGAAGGGATTAAGGAACACAATGACAGTTTGGAGAGGGAATCTGTGCAGGGCCAAGCACAGTAAGCTCTAAAGAGACAGAACCATTCTGTGAGTGTTGTAAATGTGTTAAAAGCTCTTTCAGAGTGTATGTGGCACAGAGCTGTGCTTAAAGGCATTCAGCTTTGTGTGTGCACCTCATCATATCAGGGCAGATTGGCAAATCTGCTTCACTAATTTCTTCCTCTCAGCCACTCTCCTCCCAGCCCTGGCTTGACATGTGTAAACCAACAAATGGTCCAAACCAATTCTTTTTTTTTAAAGTGATCAGGATGGGTGAAAGTGTTCAATGAAACCGAGAGGCACCATTTTTTTAAAAAATAAGTGGTTTTGTAGCTCTGTCAAGCTCTTTACCACAGCAGTTTTATGGTCAGATGCTTGGTGGGAATGAAGGGAGTGTTCAGAGTTGTGTAAGGAGAACTGGCCTTCTGACAAGCCTGTGCCTGCTTTGAGAACAGGGCATAAAGTTCTGAGTTGATGCAATACCCACTGGACCTGACTTGTAGTTAAACACTTACTCAGGATAGCAGGCCAATAATCAGAGTGGTTAACTAGATATTTGTTTAATAGGTGTAAAAACCTTTTGTGCTTCAGGGTACAGGAATAAATGTACCCTGGGCACAAATTAATTCTGCTAGCTCAACATAACATTATTTTTATCTTCCCCTAAAATAGTCTTATTTGAGGTTTTCTGTGTCCCATATTGTGGCTGTACAGGACTTTTCTGCTGGTTTGTGACTTGTAAGTTGAGACGGATGATCTCTTTTCTGTCCGTGCTGGAATACAGCATCAGCTTGTGCTCCAGCGTTGTCTGGCATGGCCTCACATTTGCAGCACAGTTGGTGACAGTAAAAGCTGTTTTAAAACTGGAATTACAGATGCGTGATGGCCAGAGTGGCATTGAAGCAAGCATAGCTACAGGAGCAAGAAGCTGCTTGGGATCTGGCAAGGGAAGTCATCAAGGCCGACAGTGGTTAAAACAGCAATTTGTGGGTGGGAGAGTTTGTTTCCTTTGTCTTGCAAGGTCTTGATGGGTCCTGAGACTTCTATTTGGCCCAGGCCTGAACCTGGGCTCATAGCTTGATAAGGCCTCCTGCCTTGCTGTTTTGCAGTGGGCGTGGATTGGGTGGCATGCGTGTGGGCTTTTGCAAGGCTGAGAGCTTGGGCACTGCCAAATCTTGTGCCCGTGTAAAGCCTCAGCAAAGCTGATTTGCACCCTGCTTTAGAGGGTTGGGTTTCAGAGCTGAGAGTGGAGATGTCCTCAGTTGCTCCAGCTGAGGAGGACATCTCCCCACACCTTCAAGGAGAGGACCCAGACCTCAGAGATCAGAATTAGGATTCCAGACAGCGATAACAGTGATTACCAGAGTCGTGTTACTGTTTGTCTAGATATGTTTGTCATACTATTTCCTTAAAAGATTACTTAAAAGAAAACCACTGCATCCAATTACTATTTTTTCCTGCCTCAGGAGTCTCGTGTCTCTGTGCCCCACGTAAATCAATGTATGTACATATGTAAGTTTGTGTAACACATCCCCGTTTGGTCTGGTCTGCAGTAACTTCCTTAACGTGTGAAATATATGTATTTAGAGGAGATTCAGGCAAAACAAAAATAGTACTTTTGGTAGGATGAGGATTCTGTAAGGGTTCAATAGAAATATGAGATTAGTTTCCAGTGTTGGGATTACTGGCTTGTGTCACAAGACTGGAATTTTGTTATTAACTATTTGGCACGTTCTGCTGTTCTTTCAGCTAACAACACAAACATAGCCAGCACCAGGCTCTGCTTACCCTGAGGATGAGTAGAAGGGGGTGGAGAATTGATCATAAAAGCTTTTTTTCTGGAAACTCAGAGCAAAAAGCAGGGTAGTGTTTGTGTACTTCTTTACTTTCTGTCCTTGCTGCAGTCCACCTGAACGCAAGCACTGGTGCACAGGTTCTGTTCATGTTGTGTGTCCTGTTGGATTAATGACCCAGAAGTTGGCAGCTTTCATTTGGACTCGCAGAGCTGTCCTTGGAAATCAGAGTGAGTCTTGTGCCACCTAATTCCTATTGCTTGGCTCTGCTCTATTACAAGGAGAGGTTTGGGGACTTTTAAAAAAGCAGCTCTGAAGTTTATATGGCAGCAAAGCTTTGGGTATTTCTGTTTTATGAATGAAATGTCCTCAAATCGAAGGCAGTTCCATGCACCACCTCATTGGTTATTTTAATAGGGCAAACCTGATCTAGTGACAAGTTCTGCCCTCAGGCACTTTTCAATGGGAATTGGATTTTTCTGTGAGACAGGAGAAGGGAGTCCTGCACAGCCTGAGGGATGCCATCGGGCCCTTTCTCCTTCGCAGCGCTGCTGACTTTGTTTTCTCTGGACCACAATTCCTTCCCACTGGTGACTGGGAGCCGAGAGAGGGGACCGATTTCCTCCTTAGCATTAAGAGTCACTCGTGTTGCTTGCTCGCTTGCCCAAGGTAGAAGGCAGTGCCTGGAGATGATGGGTTTTATTCTTCTGTTTGGCCCTGTGCTATGCAGACACTCCAAAAATAAATAGGATGTTAGCAGTGGTACCACAAAGACTGAATTTCTCATGGTCTCATCAATTTTGTTTTCTTTCCTTGCATTGGAAGGCTTGCATGTGTGCCTATCACTGTTGGAGTTTTTTTTTTTTTTCTTTCTTTTCTTCTTTTTCTCTTTTTTCTTTTTTTTGGTGAAGAGGACCGAGGAGAATAAAGTAGTCCTTGGATCCACTAAGCCCATATATGAAGCAGGACTTTCACTCTGAGAGACTACAAAAATTGTTTTTCTGCAATTGCCAGGGGACTCGAATGTCATTTTTTAACAAGAAATATGTAGCTGACAGCAAACAATGAAGTCTTTGAATGAAGTCAGTGCTGTCTCCCAGCTCTGCCAGGCCTCAGCAGCTAATATCCCTTGTAGCCAGGGCTTGTCACCGTTTATTTCTTCAGATATTAACTCATTAATTTCATCTTTTTTTCATGTTACTTACCTTTTAGGAAGCCCTTGTTCAGCTTTCCTTTAGCATTGCAGAACATGACACGTGGAAATGTACCCAAATACACATGCACACCTGCGGCCCTCTGCTGTTCTCAGACACTCCAGTGCTCAGAAGCCATTTGTTTGCAGCATGGATCTAAGTTGTGCTGTTTTGGGTTGATTTTGAGAGTCTGTTTAGAGCTGAGAGGTCCATGCAGTGAGTACTGAAAGCAAGTTGCCATGAAGGTTTGAAAAAGAGTGCAACAAACTGAGCTCTGCTGCTAGCTCTAGCCAGAGGAGAATGGCATGGGGATGGAGGCCTCATTCTGGTACAGTGATCTGTAGAAATGTCTGAAAGCACTGCTCTTGGTGGGGTGAGGAACCATGGTCCTGATTTGTCATGTTTTAAGTAGCTTTCCCTCGCTGTCCCCAGATGGAGCGGGGGCCGGAGAGGTTTGTCACCTCACTGAACTGTGTCGGAGCCTGCAGTTGGTGCTGATCCTTCCTCCCGTTTCTCCGGGGTCTCAGAGGCAGAATTCAGAGTCTGTTGCTCTGCCAACACCTTTGATTTCTGCCCTTTGACATCTGTGACACCAAACCTGCTTGAGCTGTTCTAAAATCCCAGCGGAGCATGGCCGTGAAATTCAGAGTAGTTGCCGTAACGTGAGGGAGCACCTGGCTGCCACGGCGCTTCCCCTGCGGGCCTGGCACTGCCTGGCGCAGAGGCTGGTCTTTCTCAGAGCTCACATCTGTTTGGCCACGGAGTATTCAGACCTTGAGATTGTTTCTGGAGTTGCTTTGGTAACTTACATACATAGGATGTTTGCTGCTGCTGCTGGTTCCAAGTGAGATACAAACAACTGCACGAAGACTGCTGTGAAAGTGACGGGAAGTTTGGCTGGTATCGTGCTCTGAGAGAGTGAACGTTGCTGATAGGGCACAGAAGGTAGGAAAAGAGAACAGCAGCTAGGAACAGAACTTTGCTGAAGACAATCGTGTGTTTTCTGGCCAGTGTTAGCTGCTTTTAAAAACACGCGTAGCTAACAATTTGAAAGGCAGTTGAGTAAATAGCTGAAGAAAACATCCCTTCCAATTTACTTTGACCTGCGAATGCTGCCCCACATCCCCACGCTGCTCATGTGGTTAGGGTCAGAGTCCCCTCGGCCTCCCATGGGTAAGCAGTGGATTTCACTGTCCCTCATCAGAGACGCTTTGCTGGCATCAGTGTAGGCTTATTAAGGACAATGACATTTTTTAGGGTAACTGTAATTACTTACATTAAGGAAGGCCACTAACAT